GAGTGCTGCTGTGTTTGTGGCGCTAAATGAGGCACCGCTCATAATCAACAGTTTCTTTTTATTGTTAGGTAAATGGATGCGACCGCGTTTCCTATCTGAATTCCTCTGCCAGGGTTGTCAAATGTTAATCAGTTTGTCGGAGGTTTTTCGCAGGTTGTAAATCAATTCTTTTGTGTGCACACGCAGCTTAGATGAATCTAAAAGGAAATCATTAAGAACGCACGCTTAGTATTTGGATAGTGACTTTTATAAATGGCAGTGAGAGTTACTCGTTTTAAAACAAGTAGTGGGAAAATAAGGAGATGATGCCGGTAAATGACGGTATAAAAAGCAGGAGAAGAATGTCTTCGTGCAGAGGACGTAAGGTTATCTAAGAGGAAACGAGTGGCGTTGCAGGCAAAGTCTCTTCCACTGCGATGGATAGCAGGCGTCAGGCAGTGCAGAACCCCCCCCTCTGCCCCCCTATTCAAGTTGCAAAAGCTCATTTTGGAGATTTTGCTGGCACGGCAGAAAAAGGCCTCTGTTCCCCATTTTCCATATTTCATATACGGCCCATTGGAAAGCATCGTCTGCGAGTGTCATGGCTTGGCACATTTATGAGAGATGCATTGAAGAACTTATCACTTGGAAGATATGCTTAAGTTCAGCATCTTGAAAGTCACTGTGCACTGTATTCACTTACAAAGCAAAGGGACATTTACATGGTGGTGGTTATGCTATAGGTAAATATGAGCTCTACGGTGTGCGTCTCCAGCTGCTGCTTGCCGCGAAAAATAACCAAGAAATACAACACATCAATACGATATAAAGAACAAATGTGTTCTGCAGATTTATTTCCACCGCAGACATTTTGAGTTGCGACTGTGGAAAAAATCACAGGTGTGTCTGTTAACATTCATTAAAGTCCTCTCGCTACAGAATTACCAGAATCAGCTGAAATGCCTGTAATTCACACCCACCAGCACTCCGGGCTCATTACTGACTTATTACCTATAGTCTGATCACGCATCCAAACTGAGCCTTCATTTGATCTCAGCTTCACACCTGTAAAGTTTCCTGACAGCATCGACACATTTACTGAAAATAAAAAATAAGAATAAAATGACTGAAGATAAAGAACGCCTGCTAACATACTGAGCACCGACTGTCTATGTTTTTTAGCTTAAAGAGAGCTTCCCCACTTAGTTGATGTTGTCAACAATAAAGATCTGAAAACACAAATTTCTGCATATTATTTTAAGGTTTCATTAAATCAGTTTATAGAATCAGACTAAACTATTCCTGACCCCACAGCAAAGCAGTTATTAGAGAGCTTAATCTCAACTAGGCACTGCTACATACATGCAACTGCACATATTTCAGCAGATGCACCAATGCAGCCAGCGTTCACGTCACACAATAAATGTAAGCACTTAAACTGGATGCAGACCTTACTTATACATTGTAATATTATTGTGTTTTATGCAATACTGTCTACAAATTCCAGTAGAAAACGACACCGGGCGTCATTAGAGCACAAATTCAATTCAATTTCTTTTCTTCTCAATGAAAAAAAAGTAGATAGCACCGTGTGCTGAATGCAAGTCGAACCTTTAGAGCGACAGAAGCAGAACGTACGTTTGAAACCGAGCTACAGGAGGATCATTAAGAGGCAACAATAGACAACCATGAAGGGGTTTTCTGTCATTTAGACTAAAAAGACTTTTCTCAGTGTGTGCAGACTTTGCACGATAAACACTTTACTTCAGTCTTCAATGAGCTTTGTTGCACTTGTGGGGGGAAATTACAGGTTTATCCATCTTATTATGTGGCTGAGTCCAGAGAGCTCATGTAAATCCCTACACTCACTCAGTCACGAACTGAAAGGACTTGTATAAGACCCCCTCAGCAGGGCATTTTTTTTACATTTGTTACAGATAAATAACAAAACTGGCTCAGTTATATTCAACAGTTTCAGCCGTCTGTCACACTTACATGCTTTACACTGACAGTGGCGCAGAGCCAGCGTTAAGGTCAAACGCCATCAAGTTCCTCTGTGACGAGTCCAAAAGTCTGCTGTGAAAAGGTTTGAGGGTGTAAAAAACCGCCGCACAAGAAGTAGACACGAACTGTATAATGACAGCTGAGGAGTCAGTGCACGTAGGTGTGGTGGGGGCGCGTTTTAAACTGTGTTTGCTGTTGAAATGAATGTTTAACGACAGTCTCCTGTTACACTTTTTCTCCAAATAAAACAATGCATTTTTACCAAAACTTTCCTTCAGAGCTGGAGTGTCAGTGTGGGTTAGTGTCACAGACACGTGCGTACTCATGCGGCTGACCCTAATCGGTGCTTGCATTGACAGAAGGAAGCCTTCGTGTGGAAGACAATGATCTACTTAAAACGGACGCTCCACTTCATGGAGGTGCTCCGACGATTCGGCCCTCGCTGTCGGGGAAACCGAGCAGTGAGGTTTGCTTGACTCGCTGTCAGATGATTGTCGCCAGTGAGCCTATAAGCTCATCTCGGCTAGCATTAGCCGCTAACCCGTGGGACACTCTGAGGAACTCAAGAACTAAGCAACTTATCGGGAGGCTTCCAGTTCAGGGCATTAGAGCTGACTAAGAGCAAGCAGGGCAACGCTGGCCCAAAGTTCTGCTTAGTCGTCGCTTTCCTCAGTCTGGTGTAAAAAAGTGCCACTTTCATTTCCGTGGTGATAAGGGAGAGCGAAAGGCGGGAAACAGACCTGTGTAATACTGATGGACGGAGTCACTGTGCGCGAGCGGGGCCCGAGTGTGCAAATCGGAGGCTAAAAATGCAGCATCAGCAGTGGTGGATTTACTCTGGATGAATGGACTTGACTCGGTGAGGGGAGCGGGGCGGGGGTGCGAAGGGCGGTGGGTGTCAAAGCAAGTGGCTGAGACACGGCTAATACTGCCAGTGAGCTGTGGCCACCTAAGTAATTACTACCTTTGCTGTTAGGCTAATCCCCAGAGCAGAGCAGCAAACTCAGGGGAGAAAAGCTTCGGAGCCTCCGGGGCTCCCGTCACTCGACTTCAATTACACAGAGACGCGGACCTGTCTCACCCAGAGAGAGGGAGAGGGGGAGGATGAGATACAGGGCAGGGAAGAAGCCGCCTATCTGCTTCAAATGCATTTAAATAATTCCTCAGAAACGTTCGGTGAACTACGCAGGGAGGACAAACTCCAATTTCAGATTCAGATTACGCTAAGAAAAAAAAGAATAAATAATAAACAAGAGGACAGTCACATTATACAACAACAGAAGAACGATTTCTAATGCGCTCTCTATAAATGCTGCTCTCTCCTGTATGTTCATAAAAAGGTAAACACTGAAAACAATAAAAAGAAGGATTTGAATTGAGCAGGATTGGTTTTACTGTTCAGGTATACGTGTGAAATTTCTTCCATGCTGACTAACACTTTGTGCAAGCATATAGTGCAAAAATATTGAAAGAAATGTAAAGGTTTGGTTTGTGACATAACACAAAAATGAGAGGAGCAGCCACTGCTCTAAAAACACATTTGAAATCTAATCACGCATCGAGTTTCGTCGGAGCAGGTGAGTTAATAAGGCGTGCTTGATTTTAAAAATTCAACTCCGGAGAAACAGTTTAAGCTTAAATTAAACACAAATGCACGGAAACAGAAACAAAGAAAAACTACATTCTGCACACTGACTGTTTGCAACCGAGAAAGAAGAAGGGATTTCACAGCACTCTGGTGATGTTACTAATTTAAAATTTGACAGAAAAGTGAGAGTAAATGATTTATTACATCAAGTGAATACTTTTTCTCTTCCTGCTGATCTACATAAGCCAGCTCAGCATCAGTCTCAGTCTGGGAACTTCCACTCTGTGGGTTACCTTTGCGTTCGGAGCGTTTCTTGCGCCTCCTCTTGAACCTGCGTCGGATCAGGCAGTAATAGGAGCCCAGACTCTGTGCGCCGTTGGTGAGCAGGGCCATGACTTGGTGCACACTACTAGAAATTCCACTAAACGGCTGCCTAACTCTGGCTGAGCTCTTCGTTAAAACTGGAGCAAATTAAACTTGAACTCACACACGTGGTCTACCTGCCCTTCAACCTTCGCCCTCGTCCGCTTCACAAGCCGTGCACCGCTGTTTTCAAGCTACTGACATGAAGAACGCTCAACTCCACACACCTGCAGCGTTTCTTTGTTTCTACTTTAGTCCTTCCCTCATATCCAAACTCCCTCTCTCTCCATCCCTCCCTCCCTTTCCTCCTCGCTGCTTCTCTCCTCTGTTGACTCCATGTCTGCCCTATCAGTAGTCAGAGAGGGGAGGCGATGGAGTGGAGGAGGAGGGGACAAGCTGAGGAGAGAGACTCATGTTTTCATATGGATAAGAATTAACACACAGACCAAAGGCAAACTCTCTACCTGTGTAATCCCAGCTCAAAGTAACTGACACATCCTACAAGCGACGCCAATGTCATCCACCGACTTCCTCCACCCGCTTACCAGTTCATCATACCGTAGCTTTCTGTGCTGTGTGAGTGTAATAAGAGTCTATGTTTAACTATATTCCCTCTGCAGTGAAAGTAAGAGTGTCGGCTCAATGCATCTCCAGTACATCCCCCCGTTTCTCTCACACACTCAAACATATGACATTAAAATAAGCTCATATAAAAAAGTTACAACTGCAATATTAAAATCATCCGTCACTTGTCATCATACCCACCTGTCTCCTTCTTTAAGATTTATATTTTTTGTATTCCCCAATAACGAGCAAGCTCACCACTTGAGAGGGTGAGAACTTAGAAAGAAGTACTCTGCCTCCCTCTAGTGGCCATCTCGTGTAATTGCAGTTTTGCTGGGCCCAAACCACTTTTTTAAGCCACAGAAAATCAAACAACACTTATGATGGGAGCGCAAAGTTATGTTAGCCTTGTTGACAAATGTAATACAATTCTATCCTGGGTACAAACTCAGTATAGAGACAGACAAAGAAAGGAAGGAAGGGAAACGGCAAAAACACTTACCTGTGGCTGCCGTGCAGTCTGTGACCGGTAAAATCTGCAGGAGAGACAGAGAACACTTTACTAAACGACAGCGCTGACCAAGAAGTTTCTGCCAAAGCTCTTTTAGAGACGCAGCGCAACCAAGTTAGTGGCAGACAACAAGGAAATATGCACATGCTGGACTCATTCTTTCAAATTAGCCGTTTCCACATCAGCTCATCTTTCCCCACATTGTTCCAAAGAATTCCTGGATGGTTACCTAGAGCCACTCTTTGGATGGAACATGGGCTTAGGTGCCTGATCCCATTCATTTAGCTAAAAAACACAATTTTGTCAGTCGCTGGACTGTTTCAAGGCTTCCTGATATTTTATTTGGCAAATACAACGCCCTTATAAGGAAATGTGATCCCTGTAATTGGTACACAGATCACTTATCTTAGACTGCAGGAACGGTAAGTGGTCAGCTGCGTGGTTTTTTAATATGTTTCTTAAACGGCTGGAGGAGAAAAATCATACTGGTGAAACCAAATAATCTACAAAGCTTAAACCCGCTGATCTCACATGCCAATGTAAAAATGTAAAGACTGACTGCATGAAAACGTCTGAGTGGGTAATCAGATAAGGCAGATCCTGTTAGCATTATTCATTCACTATTATAAAGGGATAAATAAGCCAAGCACAATAAAGCCTGATCACGTCAATGCTCCAGACAACCTGCTAAATCTGTCAGCCATTAAATTGGCTGCTAATGCCTACAGATAAATGTGGAACGGCATGTGTGTTCTTGATGCTGTTGTCAGTTTTTTTGAATAATTAATAACTACCTCGTGTGATTGTTTATTAACTGGAACGTTAATAAACAATCACCCCATTTTCACCCCTTCAATATGTTAATATTTTCTATTAACAGCTTTTATTTTCTTTGGTATGCATGCGTACAAGTGCTTATTAATGCAAATATCTAATCAGCCAATTACACACCAGCAACTTTTCAGTACATAGACACTGTCAACACGTCCTGATGAGGAGATATTTCAGACTGTTTCAAGCAGATAAGAAGTCAACTGTAGCTAAAATAACCTCTCATTACAGCAAGTATGCAGAACAGCATCTCTTAACCTTGAGGCTGATGGCCTACAGCAGACCACACTGGAAACCACTCCTGCCTTGTGTCAACAGTTCAGGCTGCTGGTCCTCTTATTATCAACTAAACATCATCTACATGCCACAGCCTACCTGAGTGTTGTTGCTGACCATGTTCATTCCTTTATAACAAGATAAAAAAAACCCTCCCCCATGGAGGCTTCCAGCTGGATGTCACGTGTCACAAAGCTCAAATCATCTCAAGTTCACTGTATTCAAATGTCCTCCACAGTCACCAGATGTTGGGCAAATAGAGCACCTTTGATATATGGTGGCATGAGAGAGCCACATTGTGGATGTGCAGCCAACAAATCTGCAGCAGCCGTGTGATACTGTCATGACAATGTGGAAAGAAATCTGAGGAATGTGACCAGGACCTTTTTGAATCTATGAATCCAGTTCTGACTGCAAAAGGGGGCCTGAGCCAGTACAAGGAAGGTGCACTTAATGAAGAGTCCAGTTTAATATAAAGTATATAACGGTAAGGCAAAAATTATAAGAAAAAATGTAATGTCATATATGTAATGATATAATGCGATATGTAATGTGTAATGATGGGAGGTACAATGTGATATTAGAGTCCAAATGGTACTGGATGTGTGAGGCTAAGCTCTGAGAGCGTTGTAGACAATTCAGGGTTTTTTTTGTTCTGTTCAAAAAAACAAACAAACAAACAAACCCAGCAAATCTCTGACATCACTCTATCCAATTTATCTGTGAATGGCTAATATCAGCTACTAGTAAAGGCCAACTGAAAGGCTCCATCTGAAACACTGCTACATGACCTACACTGCTCTATGAGTGCTGGGTCATCACAGACAAGGATTAAAAAAAGACATCGCAATTAAGCTTCAGCTTTGGTATATTATTGCTCTACGATGTCCACCAAACTAAAAATGGAGAGAAATATACACGTAACAGGTGAAGGAGGGTGAATGGAAAAAACAATCGATACAGAGAAAACCCAGTGAGTGAGTACATAAAGCAAAGGAGGCCAGAGGGAGAGAGAAAAGGTGAGGAGACAAGAGAAACCCGCCCGTATAAAACATAAAATGAAAATGTAATCCCAAAGTAAGCTCTTTTAACATGGGAGGCTGATTACAGCAGGTGAGGCTCTTGTGTCACGGCTCAATATAAAAGCTTAAAACTGATTTATCACTTTTGGCCAGCAGTGGTTTGCTGTGTCATAGCAGGAAGGCAGCTCGCCTCTCCATGACCCCGGGTACAAAAAAAGGGTTAATAATATGGATGGATGA